CATCCAACTCAGAAATTCGATAATAAAATTAAATAGAAACTAACGGAGGGTAAAATTGTCACAGGTGTACCGGTTTGGGGTTTTTGGTGTATTAACCTTCAAAATGTTCAGGGCACAAATAAGTTTGTTTTGCCAAAATGTGTCCAAATCGACAAAATATCTTTTGCCAACATTGATTCTTCGGTTTTATTAAGAGCAAACGGGTTCTGTGGTGATTCCGGATATGAGTCTCAATAAATCACGAGGAATAGATTCGTCGGAATTTAATTAACGATGAAGTACAAAACACTTTATCAAAATTTAATCGACGACAAAGTAAGATAATAGAGATATACAACTTCGGAATTTAATCAACGATTAAGTACTTGAAACTACAACTAAAGTACAAGAACTGAAAGGTATTTAAATTTCAGAAAAGATAAATTGTGGAAAAGTAAAGATAAAGATAAATTTATGTTGAGTTCTTTGATTGATTGGAAAGAGTCTACAAAGAGTACGATGTGGCTATTTAAAACCTAGAATCGAAAATTACAAACAAAGGTTACACAATTCAAATAAATAAATAACTTCCCAGTCTCCTAATTTTTAGCTACACTTGAGCCCGAAAATATCACTACTCACCTTTTACTCATCGTGGTGATGTGATGACTTCATCCTCAGATAACTAATATTTTCTCTCATCAGTTGCATATTGATATCGATGACTTCATCCCAAATAACTGATATCTAGCAACACTTGAGCCCGAAAAATATTGCTACTCATTAGTCGCATATTGATATCGATGTCGATGACTTTATCCCAAATAACTTATATCTAGCAACACTGGAGCCCGAATATTTTGCTACTCATCATTTATATGTCAATATCGATGTCCATGACTTCTGTTATTTACTAAACTCTGCTACCATCTACTAAGTCAATTACTTGTCGATTATAGCAAAAGAATTGGTCCTTTTGGTGTTAACATATGCCCCATTAAAAGAATTAAATGGTTTATAGATCATTCTATTCTTTTCTTTTGAATTTGATAATTAGGAGTCATCATGTGCCTCCATGTCATCGCCAAATTTGATTTTTCTTTTCCGAATGCTATCTTGGTCAGATTCATCATCTAACACAATCTTTTCACGAAAGCCACCTTTTGGTTTAAAGTCTTCATGTGGCCCTATCTTTATCCTTAAGTAGTTGTTCATAGTTAGACACTTTCGTTGTCAATTCAAATAAATCGGCAAAATTTTGGCTTTCGAATATTTCTTTTAGATTGAAATCCAAATTTGTGAATTCTTTTCTCGAGAGTCGAGTAAGGCATCTATTTGTAGGCTTTTTAAATCAAGCAACAAACTAACCAACCAACTCGTTATTGTATTGATAGAGTGTGGCCAAATCAACAATCGATACCTCAGGTATAGTTCTGTAAAATTAAGAATGGAATTGCCTCTCCATCTTTGCCCAATTATACACTGAATTATGTGGTAAATTAGTGTACCAAGTAAAAGCAGTTTTCAATACAGAAAGAAAATAACTTTTGTCTTAAAAACTCATTTTTTCTTGCTTCTTCGCACTATCGACAAAAGTCTTCGCTAGTAAAAATGGCAAATTCAGGGATTTCGAAGCCTCTTGGAAAATGCTGGTTATCGACCCATTCGAGATGTTGTTTCCTAAAAATAGGTATGATAACACTCCTATCTAACCCCAATTGTTGTTGAACTTCTTCAACAAATTGTGCTGCGTTCAACTTGGGTTTGGTTGGCCGTTTTGCCCCCAAGGCGATAACGTTGGTCTTGCTAGGTTATAAACGTTAATCAACATGTTAGGCCTAATAGGAATATTCACATTGGGTGGAACTGGCTTTACATCTTCAACATTTGGCAATTGATTGGCCTGTTGACCAGTTTGATTTGCCAAATTATTGTCACTATTTTGGTTATTTTGACCAACATCAGCCCGATAATTCTCATAATTGTGACCTTGATTAGAAGTTTCAAGCCTTGCAAAATTTTTATAGGGGATTGACTATTCTGACCAACATTATTGGCATACATAAATGTAATTGCCTATTCTCATCATAAATGAAGAGGGGCTAGGAATGTACAATGTTGCCATTGGATTAGATAGTGGTGGTTGATTGGACGATCCCGACCTCGAGAAAATATCATCCATGGCAATGATGATGATTAGCTTGATTACGTCTGACATGTGACTCACAATGTAATTGCCGATAGTATTCCACTGCTCTTCAAACCACCTCTTCATGGTGGCCAACATATGAGAATTTAGGGCAACTTCTCTTGATTGTTCTTCAATGAGATGTCAGGGAAGGTCTACCCCCTCGCATTAGCCTTCCTCTGCCATTCAGTTAATGGTTGAAGATTCAGAGGGTGCAGCCCTATCATTGCCATTGGGATTGCTACCTTCCCAGTTGGAGAAATATCTCAAGGAAATTTTGATGATTACAAAACTATCTTTTGTAAAATATCGTACTATGATAATTGCAAATGTTTGTAATAATGTGTAAAGAACAAAAAGTGATATCCATGAAGGAAGAAAATCACGTAGTTGTTCTGTTTGTAAACAGCATCAACGGACTTCTAAATAAAAGTGTTAGATTTATGCTAACAGTTATTGATGTACTCAAGAATGACCTGAGTGTTTGTGTTAAGGCACATGCTTGATATTGTTATCAAGATTAGACTATTGAAAACTTTAACTAGTAAGACGATCAAGCATATGTGAACTAACAATAGCAAAGAGTTATGTTTGGAGCTGTTAATGAATTCTGCATGGAAGAAGGTATAGTCAGACACTGCAATAGTATTAGTAAACCACAACATGTTGCAGAGTTGATGACCATAACATTACTAGAGACGACCTAAAAAATGATGTCTTGTGCTTGTATGCTAGGAGAATCTTGGTGGAAGTGCTTAGTACGGTGAGCTACCTATTGAATGTGATTGAATGTCAAACTCCCAAAAAAGTGTGGTTACGTAACGTTACTGACTATTCTTAGAATATATTGGTTCCCCATGTTATGTTCAAGTGAGTGATGGTAAGCTTGATGAGAGGGTAAGAAAGTACATATTCCTAGGCTATGTTGTGGTGCGCGGAATTAAATTCAATTGTTATCAATGAAGAAGTTACATTTGACGAATCTCTAGTATTTCTCAATAGGAGTGATTGTGGTAGTGTTTATACAGATCTGGACGGTGTTTAGCTCGAGGTAGAGTTGCAACTAGAAACTTCTACGGTCGTGGATGCTAGCATTGTAAACGACACAAATGATGCTTATAGCAAGGTAGAGCCAGTAGAGCCAGCTATTGCTATAGCCGTTGAGTTTGACAATATGTATGTTTGATCTCTTGACAAATATGAATGCAACAATGGTTTTGTTTTATCTGTGATAAAGGATGTAGTGTTTGCAAATCTTTGTGGAGTTGTTGAAGGTGCAAGTGTAGTTTGTGTTTTGATGTTGTCCATGGTTGTAGAGAAATTCAAGTTAGATTTCGACTTGAAAGATTTCGATGTTGGTTGAGCCTATGAAGCGCGGTGGAAGAGTAGTAGCAAAGTTCGGATTTCAATGAAGCGATTGTGACTTGGCTTAGATGTCGAGTCCATATGGAGATTATTAAAAAATATCTAGAATTTGAACACGAAAAGAAACTTTCCTAATTGAGGTAGGTCTCCAAGTTGGAATAGATTTCTACTTTGACTAGGTTTCCAACTAGGAGTTTCCTATTTTGGATCCAACTCTTTTCTATATAAGAAGTAGGTCTTCTTTGTGAAGAGAAATTCAAGAGGCTGCTTCTTTGTGAATTACATCTTGAAGTAATCCGAGAGTGTTGCAGCAGTTAAATCTTTTGGTAAGATTTGTAAATGCTTTTGTGAGATGAGAAATTATTTTATGGGGCATTATGAAGGCTAAATACTGTGTGAGTTATTGTGAGTAATTATGGGCTAGGAAATACTGAGAGTATTTGAGTGCTCAAGTGTGCTTGTAGTTTACATTATATCGCTTGATTTATAGTAGAATCACGTGCTGCTCTTCCCGTGAACATGAATCAGACCAACCTAATCACTTAAATCTAGTGTCCATTTTAATTTATTGTCATATCTATTTTATTGTTCGATCACTTGTTTCCGTAACACTTTTGATCCGCACATCTTCGTTCAATATTGGATTCACACAATTCTCCGAAAGGAGGAAACCTTGTGATGTCTAGTTTCTACAACAAGCGGTTAGATCGTACTTTTGACATCACGATCTTTTCTAAACCGGATCAAGCTGGCTTTTGATAATTTTACCAAATGAATACCTGTTGATTGCCGAAAACTAGAAACAATCTGTATTAGTTATTATTTAGTTCCAAAATTTGTTCCAACAAACCCTAACATTCTCGTCTTACTCCCCTTCCCTTACACCATTGGACCAAGTAATCACCCTCGATATGTGACTCTTGTGGACGGATCCATATCAATCTCGCTGCGACAATGTAGCGTTTGAAAAGTTTCAAGCATCTAGTTTCGTCAAGGAGTTTGTGTGTGCGTGCGCGCGCGCGCGTGTCAAAGAGGGAGGGAGGGAGAGAGAGAGAGAAAGAGAGCTGTTAAGGAAAACGCCAAGGACAGTAAGTAGGAGTACAAATTATAGAGTATGAAAGTCGCGGTGGTCTACGATGGATGCTGCTCTCGGACTGAGGCGGATTTGTGGGTCAAAGCCCTGAGGACAGGGTGATTATAAATTTCTAAGTTTGTCTGATTGGATAAATTCGGCGATAACGACGTCAAATAACCCTCAGAGAGAGAGAGAGAGAGAGAGAGAGAGAGAGAGCAGATTCCATTTCAATCTTGGACGCATAACTAAGCAGCTGCTACTGACATAGAAAAAAAATATGCGTATATGTATTATATGTGTACTGCACTGCACAACTTTACACTATACTTATAAGGGCAATAATAATGCATTTCTAATTAATTACTCATTTATATATTCCCTTCCCACTCGCTTCTCCTTCTCGCTGATCACTCAACTCTATTTCTCTCCTGCCCCCAGAGAGAGAGAGAGAGAGAGAGAGAGAGAGAGAGATAGAGAGAGAGATTATGGAGCTCTCAGAGCAAGGCTTTTTGGAGGAGCTGCTGGCTCCAAGGAGAGAGATGGCCACTTGTTGGACCACTCTCCACCCACACAACGATCTCCTTCTTCCTCCGTGCTGGAGCCTCGACTCTTTGGGCGACAACCCGGCTTTCGCCTCCTCGAACCCTTTGCAAATCTTGTCCCTATCCCACCAACCCGCCGTCTTCGACGATGCCCGCTTCGCCGAGGCCTATCACCCCTTGGACGTTGTCCACACGTACACCGTCCCTCCGGAGCTCGAGTACACCGCGAATTATAACAACGGCAACGACGCATATGCCTCGATGGTGGAGGATGAGGAGATGTGCGACCTCATCGGCAACGACCATTATGGCCAGTGCGCGGAAGAGAGGATGATGACGATGAACAGCTGCAAGGTTGAGGCCTCGGAGCAAGCTGCGGATATCAACAATGGCGGGCTTACTGGGAATACCGATGCCGGGTCGTCATACTGCTTCGAGAAGAGGAGCTCGAGGCCAAAGAAGTTGGAAGGCCAGCCGTCGAAGAACTTAATGGCGGAGAGGCGGAGAAGGAAGCGCTTGAACGACCGGCTTTCCATGCTCAGGTCGATTGTTCCCAAGATAAGCAAGGTGTGATATGATGATCTAACTTGGATTTTTTGTTCCTCTTTCGTTCCCTTCTTTTGTCCTTGATTAAATTGGTAAAATCAGATTTTGTCACATCAGATTCGGTTGAGAGAGAGAGAGAGAGAGAGAGAGAGAGAGAGAGAGAGAGAGATCGGGAGCACACGATCTTTTCTTTCCCTCGCTCTAAAAAGAAAAGACTTGATCAATCAAACTCGACTCTTAACTTGGATGTTAGGCTGAAGTTGAGTACCCAACCGTTTAAGCTGTCCGAAAACGACCCTGTTGACGCATTTGTTTCTTCTTCCGCTAAACCATAAAGCTTCAAACAGCTTTCAACCATCCTTCAGATGATGAAAATGATCTTCAGACTAAGCCTGTGTACAGACTGAATTCTAGTTCCCTTTTCTCTTTGGCTAATGCAAGAATACGAATGGACAATGATCTTTTGCAGATGGACAGGACATCAATCCTAGGAGACACCATAGATTACATGAAAGAGCTCCTAGAGAGGATCAACAAGCTTCAAGATGAAGAAGAAATGGAGGTTGGAACAAGCAGTCCACTCAAATTGATGGGCATCTCCAAAGATCTAAAGCCCAACGAAGTCCTTGTTAGAAATTCACCCAAGGTCTATTTGAACATGCCTCACCTTTTTCTCAGTTTATTTTGATTTTCGCGCTTATCGTGGGCTATGGATTTGAGCAATGAACTGAAATTTTCCTTCTTCTTTTGGTTAATTTGTTCTGCAGTTTGATGTGGAGAGGAGAGATACGAACACCCGGATCGACATCTGCTGTGCCACAAAGCCCGGGTTATTGCTTTCAACTGTGAACACGTTAGAAGCACTCGGCCTCGAGCTTCAACAGTGCGTCATAAGCTGCTTCAATGATTTCTCAATGCAAGCTTCTTGTTCAGAGGTACATGTGATTGATTATAGATGAATCTGTCTGTTGTTATTTTGCTCCATACAGTCTCCATTTAGCTCTGATTTTTGAAGATCTATAATCTCTCACCTTTTTTTGACAGGTAAACGAAGGAAGAGCGCTGTTGAGTCCAGAAGACATAAAACAAGCATTGTTCAGAAATGCTGGATACGGAGGAAGATGTCTTTAGTAGAGAGGTTGCAAAGAAAAAAGAAAGAAAGAAATTGCAAGTGAGGACATGGTTTTCCTCTATTTTCTTATTTGGTGTTCGATTGGATTGGATTGGAGGATCAATTCTTGTTCAGCTCCATCCTCAGTACTGGTTTAATTATGTGTTAGCTACTCCAACTTGGGGTTAGAAATTGATTCCTTTATTTTGCAATAAGGTCCAATTTGTTCTTGTCTTGACCCCAACTTGAATGAAGGAAAAATAAAATATGCAAAAATAAGCTGCGGAGAATAATCTAGTCTCGATTTGTTTAATGAATTAAGAATACGTTTGGAATATATTTTGCTGGTTGTGAGGAATTAAACAGTGAGTTCCTCTGTTCACGCGCTAAAACAATTCCTTCTCTCTTGATGTCACATTCCCAACGTCCGTCCCGCACACACCCAATAATTGCAACGTAGGATTGCATTCAATGGTGGTGTTTTCTCTCTCGTCCATGAATGTTCGACGAATATGCAGAGGTTTTGATTTGTTTAATGCCCAAAAGATGGATGGGCTCTCTTTCCTGCACTGCAATGGTTGCAACTTGCAACCAGCCAGTCGTGATTAATCATTTGAGATAGTATTCGCTACGTATACGTACGTACATGCCCGATATCAGCGAGTGGTACTCTCCTTCCATCAATCCGCATAAGTTTGGATCGACTTGCTAGGCTTGGCTCAAGGAGTCATGAGTTCCGCAGACTTAGAAAATTATAATGGTTGATCAACACGAGTACGAAAAAAGTTCAAATAATAAGATGAAAACAATGTTATATCAGTGACAAATACGTATTTCATCTTCAGTGAGGCTTCAAAGGGTGAAAATATAATGAAAGAAAGAAAAGGATTTGATTCCAGTTTTCCGGATTTGGTCCAATCTGGTTACGATTCTTCTTATGGCCCGATTTCTCTTCCTAAGCTATTTCCTTTCTTTGAGCTCCAACCATACCCGAATAGTAACTTATTCGGAGGTTAAAACCAACTTGATGAGAGATATCGCTAGTGAATCAGGTGCAACTTGAGGTTTAAGCAAGAAGATCAGACTAACAACAAGAAATTGTCGGTTCGGACATTGTGTTAATACAATCCTTTAAAGGGTGAAACATCCCAGGCTTTGCCTTTACCGTAACGGGTCGTAGTTCTCCAAAAGTTCAGAAATTATCCTGCAGTCGAGCATTATTTTTGTCCTTACAGCGACAAAGTCCTACAGATCAGCAACCGGAGATGAAGTTCCACGAGTGCAGAGCCAAAATCAGGTCCTAAGTATATTTACTAATATGAGTGAGAGATTGGCCAATATTCTTTGTTTAACGTATCTATAAAACACAATAACTAAAAACCGTACTTGCTTGAACCTTTTCTTCTGCTAATCAATGTCACGTTTTCATTGCGCACAATTTATGCAGAGGATAACGGTTTCTTTCACTTGTCCTGTACACACGAATTGTGATGAAACAAAGCCACTATTCAAGTGCCAGCGGGCACGAGAAAATGCGGTCTTCGCATGTGAAACCTCCCATGATTAGTTTGACGTATAAAGAACTTTTTGTCCTTTTTCTAATGTAGAAGAAAACATTAAAAGTACATTGATGTTAGCAATATGTACTAAACCTAAACCATAAGCATTAAAAAAGACGCTCAATCGATTTGTGGAGTTTGTTCTCTTTAAGGAGTCACCACACTTGACAGCAAATCATAGAGTTAATCAAATGGGCGATCGTTATCGAAACATGTAACTGATGTGCAATGTACCTTATGGATGTCATTAGTCTTTTCATGCAGTTGACGCGCTGTAAACAAAAAGTTTGCAATAGAAACACACTATATCAACATGGGGATCAAGTCGAGAATGTATGAAGCAATTAAATTCGGAAAAGAGATAAACAAAAGCGCCAATTGACCGCATTTAATCAGAACCCAAACAACTTATTTGTTAAACTGATCAAGGTACTTTCTCATGCACTGCCCTGTTTTTGACCCGACTTATTAATGGAGTGGCTAGATCTATCCAACCAGAGCTAGGAAGTGTGGAGAGTGGCTTCTTATGGCCCGAGGACGACCTTTTCAGGGCATTTCTGAAGAGACTCCAATATATTTTCCGTAACCTATAACTAATTGAAGGTACAGTAGTGAACTTCTTTAGTATGTCAGTCTGCGTTAGTCTCACGTGACTCTTTGATTCGCGACTACACGATACATCAATGTTTGTGCTGATGAGGTGCATCACGGAGCAATTATGTTTTCATCACCAAATTACGAGACAGCAAACTACTTACTACAACCGGCTGCAACGAGGCCAATTTCTACGAAAACCGATCTCCGTCAACGAATATCCTAAATGCATGCCAGATTATGGACAACATCTTCATCTCTTGAGTTGCAATCTCAGGGGTGCGGTTTTTTTCACGGGGATGCAATTTAGGAACTGTCAAAACGGAAGACTCAATGAACTAGAGCCGCAGATGAGTATTCACCATGACTACATCGAAATAATCGAGAGACAGTCGACGAAAATGTAATATATGCGAGCAGCAGGCTTTTCAAATTTTCCAGGGCTCGAATGACAGGAGAGCCAGCCCCTCAAATGCTTTACCCTTCACGTTCCTCGGCTCAATCAAACTCTTCGAACCAACCCTTGATCTGTCTGCTGATGTATCGTTGCTTCAACCATACTTTGGAATAAAAATGACCAGAGTTATCTCAAAACTACCTTCTGAAGATGGCTCCTGCAGAATTTGGTCTTCAGTGTCATGAATTGGAAAGACGATGCCGAGAACAACAATCGGAATTTGAACAACCTGGTCAGATCCTGCAGGTCCAGACTCTTAAGTCCTCACTATAGCGATAGCAGCAACTCTTGCTTGCAAATAAGTATGTGTATCGTGGATTTCAGTCATCAAACCAAAGGACAGTCTTCACACCATCACTAATCTTTTTTATGACTAAATGTCTAACGACATTTAATTTTAGTATCTTTCTCCTTGCAAACGAGTAATCACCAAGGAGCTATACATTTACCAATCAAAGATTTACAAATCACAGCTACATGTAAATGCTGTGATTTCCAGCTGTGATTTCCATATAAAATGTTCATTTGGATTTAACCGGAAAAACTTAAATCATTTCGAAACATAGAAATACGGACATGTAAATTAGCATATAGTAATTTTTTTAATTTCAAAACAATATAATAAGTTTTTGAGGAGAAGTCGACTTAGTAACTTTTTACTTAAAATAAGCCAGAACTTTAGGAGTGATTTGGCCTGTGGACATATCTAGGAAAGCGGATAAAATAAGACCGAGATAGGCGAGTCGGAAATGAATGTCAATTCGCATTTACAAAAGGACTCACCTGCCCAGCCATTCGTGTCCTCATTAATGGTTGCCACGTTATTTTATAATAGATTATTTCTAGGGATATATTTTCCACAATAAGTTATTGTTTCCCCTAAAATTCCTGTAATGGATGCAAGCCACCCAAAGAAGACTCACCAATGCAGGTCAAACTCTAGATTACAAATATGAAAAACACGTAATTCCTGGATTATTACAGACAATTTACAGTTTCGAAAGGAACACAAACTAACTAAGTTTATGGGTGATCGGAGCTAGAAGCCGACAGCACAAGGTCAAAAGTGAACTCACAAAAGTGAGAGCTTGGCAAAATAAAATAAAAGAAACGAAAACTTAGGGTGTATTCGTTTCGCAGAAAATGAATTTAGAAAATATTTTTCAAAAAATAATCGCTTGTATTATTTACAAAAATAAATTAATGAAAAAAATTTCATCGTCCATGAAAATAGTTAAGCATAGATTATTATCGATGATGAAAACATTTTCCGTTGACAAATTTTTCTAAACGATATAAGCAATTATTTTTCAGAAAATATTTTTCAAATCACTCATTTTTCACGAAACGAACGCACCCTTAATGGAAATATGAAAATCTTGCGATTTGGTTAAGTATGCGTGTCTTTCTTCATGCTTAAGATGTCCTTTTTATAGTCACGAGCCTATAGGATCTCACTTTCATATTCTAAGACTCGTTCATCAAGTTCTGGATGCATTCCACAAGTTTTGAATGTGTCCTTATAGTCATGAGTATTTGGGATCTCAATTCCAAGTTCTAAGACTTTTTTTTTTAAAATGTTTTGGACGTGTTCTCCACGTTGTGGACGTGTTTCCCCAATTCTGGAAATGTTCCTCATGTTTTGGACACGATTGGGTTCAAATTCCGATAACATATTTGGTATTCATGTCAACCGTTTCGCCACCTATGTCAATAAGCTTTTGCCAAGTTCCTGATCAAGATCTCCATCACTCTTATATTTTAGACGTAAAAGTCGATAAGATAATCGGCCCACACTTTTCTCGGGTTTTTAACTGGTTTAGGGCCATGCTAGCCACTTCTGCCACATGTATGTCAACCGCTTGTACCATGTCTATGCCAACCGTTTCTGCCATGTGTCTTGTGCCACGTGTTTGTCAAGTGCTTCCGATACCAATCTTCCTATCCTCTTCAATAGCAACCATCCATGCTAGATATGTGTTTGCACCAAAAAATAACCTAACTCTTTTAAATCGACAAACAATGAGTTTAGTTGGTTAAGTGAGTTTGGTTGATTGTGATCGGCATGGTTATCGATAATTGTACGATGTAGTTATTGACTGGTCTATCGATGACCATAATATGCAACTTTCAATAATCATACAAACAACTATTGATAAGCAACGAAGTGCATTTGATCGAGGAAGATTGGTTGACGAGAATGCTTCAATGTATTAAATGATCGACAATTGTATGGCATAAATATCAACATCTAAGAAGAAGAATCATCGACGGTTATGTAGAATCAACATCGATAAGTAGCTAAAGGGTGTTCAACGAAGTTTATGGACCGAACAAGCAAAGACTTGGCCACTCTAAAATTTAGCTAAGTGTTGGAAGCGATGGGAGAACATAAGGACAAGGATATCAATTGAAGGCAAGGATACCGAGTGACGGTTAAGTAACCCAGTGGCTTTGGAAGTTTCAACTGTTTATGGATGAAATCGAAGTGCAAATAAAGGGGTTGGAATCTTGCAAGTGCAATTATAACTGTAATTAGAGTAAAAACTGCTAGTGAACGGTTATAATTAGTGGATTACATACATAGATACATACATACATACATACATATGGTGGCGTGTACTTATGTTGGCGATCCATCATCAGAAACACATATTTCCAGTGTACTTTTATTAGTTCATTAATTGTTTTTCAGTTTCCATCATTTACAATCTTTCATCGTTTGCTTTTTCGTTTTCTTTTTTTTTTTGTATGAAGAAGTTTAGGAGGAGGGGAGGTTACCCCATGTCAAGATCAGTGCGTACCACGGGCCTAGAATGTCTTATAGTCGATTTACAGATCGCCTACCAAAGGGAATTGCCGACAGCGGGATTCGACTCTGGGTATGGTGTGTAGAAAATTTGAACATTACCAGTTGAGCCAACCCACTTTGCACAATCTTTCATCTTTAAATTTGTTGTTCATTTTCTTTGCAACGCCGATTGAACTCTTATCCAAAATCACACTGAACCCATCTAACAAAAAACCAAAAATCGACTTTTCGGTGAAAGATCTTTCACTCTCTGGGTCAACACCCATTTTTTGTAAAACTACATGTCAACTTTAGGTACCAACAATAGCCAATGCCGATCTTGCACATACCAATCCTCGTGTTGGCCAAACTTATACCAATCACAACCTGGTTGGTGTCATTTGCATGACAACTTGTTATCATAAAGTCAATATCTAGCTTAATATGGTTGATGCCTCACAAAGCCGATATCTCTCTCAAAATGATCGATATCTACTTTGACCATTTCTTAGGTGTCTAAAGTTATGGATGTCATTGATACGTAAACTTGGCCAACTAGAATACTAGTTGAAGAAAACCATGGCCTTGTTTTTAGAAAAATAATGCTTGTACTAATGTAATGAATAGAACATAGGGGAGAGCGAGATTATTTTTGCCTGTGGGATTAACCTACTATGGCTTCTATGAATGGTGCACGGTGAGTTTAACGTGGGTGTGCTTAGTTGATCCCGTAACTACTGTACTTAGTTGATCCCATGACTACTATTTCATTTGTAAATATGAATTCATCTATAAGTAAATACTTGTGGACAGCTTTACCATATATTAATGTCGAGTTTATAAATGTAAAGATTGAGTTATTTCCATCATATATGAGTGGTAAATGTTGTGTTTTGGATTGGGTATGGGCTGCCTATAATGGACTGAGCCGAGCCGGTCATCAAGTTGACATTGTCTCCTCAAACATTTTTTAACTAACCACACGTGTGAATTTGGAAAGCAAATCTAAAGTCACCTGATATTTGCACCAGGTGCCATGAGACTAGTAGCGGACATACCAATGCCTGATACCAATGCCTGAGATTATTCGCCATCGCTGGACCTTTATTCACAAACAAGACGATTTTAAACTTTATAGATTGACTTCGTGGTTAAGGAACGGACCTATGTATGTAAGTTAGACGCACGACACATATTCATTTCCTAACATGAAAGGTGCAAACTGGTTCATGTTTGATTCACCCATCCAAGTTATGACTCGCATCTTACCGAATTGTTCATGGTAGGGGATGACTGGGGAGTATGATTTACCTAACTATAGAAGAGAAAAGTTTCAAGAACCATTGCATGAGGCTTCATGTCTTCTTCTTTTGCTTGAGAGGCTGGGCTTAGGACTGATTAGTGCTTATTTTAGAGAGCAAGAGATGGCCCTTTTCGGAGCTAGTAAGTTTGTTCAAGCCCTTGTGCATTTAGCGAGCTACACTGGAGGAGTCACAAGAATTCATGTCAGCCATACATGGATTTCAAAACTTTGATCTCGTGGCATATTTAGTGTCCAAGTTATTAGGCTCAGACAAGATTCCCTCCTCATTGATTTTTTCTATAAAGGTTGAGCTAACAATGCTAAGGGCCGTCCTGATATAGCTTGTGGACAAAAGAAATACAGAAATTTGGTATGGTTGGTTTCTAGTATATAATAAAGTTTGGCTTACTTGGGCCTATTCATTGCAAATTCAATTATCCAGGCTAGTGTACTTCCTTAGAAAGGTGGCATTTATGGGCCTTGACCATTAATATGTAACGGGGACTTTTTGGGGTCTTTGGTCATTGTTTCCTCCTACAGGAAAACCTTTCCAAGCCTTGATCTTGACCACCTTTTACTTCTTTACTTCTTGGGTGCCTAGCTGAAGCTACTTGACGGTTTTCTCTTATTGGACAAATCTCGACTCCACACGAAAGGGCAATATAGAATTTTTTTTCATAGAGAGACCCCCAATGCATCACACGCGAAGAAACCAAAATAAATAGCACAAATCCATTACAAAAGGACAGCACACTCTTGGAGGGACCACAATCAAAATTATACCTTTGATCGATTCTCTTTATTTTTCCTCCTCTTTTTGTCAAAACTTGAAGACCGTCGACTTCAATGTAAACCTAATAAGACCACTCTTCGTCGTTTCTAGCCACAAGCCATCTTCATCTTCGCTCCATATTTTGCCTTCAAGATTGGAATTGGAGTTTCTTAGGGGAATTAGGATTCAAGCATGAGGGTTTAATTTGGGGATTTGGGGCTGATTTGGGGCTATTATGCAAGATCAAGAAACAACGTTGTTTAGCTAAGTAAGAAGAACATCATTTTGTCGAATATCGCCGTAGGATGGTTTGGTGATAACTAGACCATACGTCAAAAAAATCATGCCAGGTTTGGCCAGAGGACTTTCCCTAAAAATTTTAAGACTAAATAAATCCGATGAAAAAGTTTAAGGTTTTATGACGGATTGTACAATTCTCTCAACTAAATAAAAAAATCAATGTGCTCATTGAGGTACAACCTTCTCTCCTTTGCTTTGATAATAAACGGTTATTACCCATTGTTTACAGAGCGTGTTATTTTGTGGAATAACTTGTGTAATGTTGCTGATGGTATTAGAATCACTGCTCCTTGCAGAAACACAAATTCGCCGCTTCTCTCACTCATTCAAACTTCATAGAGAGTGCTTTTGCAAATTAAATGGAATAGAAAAATTACAAAATCGAAAAAGGAGGAGCCAAAAAAGGGTCGAGTCTGTCAGACAGCTGCTTGACCACCCCAGGTAAAACGGTGTTTGCCTGAGAACGATCCTCTACAGCACCAGCTGGTCCACAACGAACCAGCAGGAACCGTTAATCACGCTCTGATCACGCAGCCACGTTTCATCCACCAGACGAAGGTTACTGTCTCCTTAGGTCTCAAGGACACAGAGGTACGAGCCTATAGAACAGATCCTGTTCAAGTAAGGTCGTCCTTTGTCGTCGCTTCGTCCATCCTTAGGAACGCTTCAACTTGTCAACAGACGTGCGATGTGGGATTTCCCTTCTTCCACCGAAAAGCTGCACGACCAAGTAGGCGAATCAGCCCATGGGCCTTAGTTTTGTCTGCACGCGCGGTTCTTGATATGGGCTTCTTGCGGATTTACTTACATTTTGCTACCAGGGCGGGATTTTCTTTCACCCGCTTGTTCTTTGCAGATGACATCTTCTTGGGTTGTGAGGCGAATGAAGAAAAACTTTGATGCGGTAATGAGACTGCTTGGTTTCTTCTGCAACCTTTCGGAGCAGAGAAGATCAACAAGGAGAAATCAAAATTAGAATGCATTGGTCTGACTTAAAATTTTATAATTAAGGAAGGGGTTAATATCACGAAAAACCTTATACTGGTACACTTGTAATAAATTTACCCTAAACTAATTTTTTGACAATAAAAAATCCCAAACTGGTACACTTGTGATAATTTTACCCCCCGTTAGTTTCAATTTAATTTTACCGTTAAATTACTGAGTTGGATGACACGTGACAGTTGACGGATATATTAGTTTGAGGTTTTTATCTTCCGTTTGTCACAGGTATACCGATTTGGAGTTTTTCGTGATATTAACCCAATATAATAGAAACTAACGAAGGGTAAATTTGTCGTAGGATAACAGACTGATCTTCGAAAGATATCTTGGTTTTCCCTCTTGATGCGAGTCAGGATAATGTTAATGAATTTTCCCTTGCCACGAAGAAAGTAACAAGGGAACTCTCTGGATGGAGGCGAAATGTTTTGTGTATGATGGAGGAGATCTGTGCTTCTCAAAACCAACATGCTGAAACCCTTGCGTGCTTGGACACCTAAGATTCTTCTTCCTTTGAAGATCTGAAGAGAGTTGAAGTCTTGAGCCAGATAGTTTAACTTCAATATGTACATTATCGGGCTCATAGCAATTGGCGTGGGATGTGCGCGTGCTTATCAAGAAGTGCCAATAACAGCTTATCAAGTAGTCGAACCAACCACTGGAGGTTTATCCCAGTTGCCACCCTTCTCACTTGAGAAGGGGGAGGTGGGGAGTTCGAATCCCCACCTTCGCAGGGGGGTAGGGGTGGGATCGCGTAGTTTTAAGATGTGGGTTTCGACGCCCACCCCCTGCAAGAGGCGAGGCGCAAGTCTGAATGTGTATCGTGAGTGAGAGATAGAGTAGGACCGACCAAAAAAAAAAAAGTAGTCGAACCTTTAAATAGCACATTGCTTAAGAGAGATTAACAGAGTAACATATTGGGTTGTCAAAGCCCTTACCCACAATTAGGTCTCTGACCCTCCTCAGGCCCAACGAGGTTTATTTCGCTCTGAAGCTCGCTTACTGTGCTCTTATGTTATTTCTTAATGAAATGCATGGAATTTTTACCGACAAAAAAAAAAACAACAATGGAGCGATTCGTGGTTATTACATGAAAATTGCCAATTTCCCCAATAAAACTTGTGATCAACTAGACAAAATTAACAGGGACTTGCTTGAATAAACTCTCCCATCACTTACTACATGGATGATTTTGTGGATGACTAATCGGAGAGAAGGAGAAGTAGTTGGAATCATACGTGATTGGTATGCAAAGTGGGTAAAGGGCCTTGCCAGATATATTGGCAAAGCGTTTGTCATTACAGCTGAGGCGTATGGTCGGCTTATCTTGGCAGATTGTTGGAACAATCTTTACCCCCTCTCATTCAAGCTATTTCAAGAATGCAAACCTCTATCCGGTTCCGATAGTCAAAGATCCAAACCGTCTTCGATTTTAGATCAAGCCATCTAGTCCTTCAGGTCCGGATCTTGAAGAGAATTAGGAATACGTGATGTCCGATTTGAGACTAAGCCTTCAAGGTCCTAGAGTAGTGTTCGAGAGAAGAAAGATTCGGAGAATTTTTACAATTCGATAACTGATATAATTCAGATAAAAAAATTTATTTGTGTCCAAACACATCAGAAAAGTCCTAAACCTTTAGCATTTGTGTCAATTCAGTCCTAAACATTTTGTTTTTGTGCCAATTCAGTCCTTCCGACTAATTTTGAGTAGATTTTGCTGACGTGGACGCTAGTCGGCCTACGTGGCACTGCCAACGCTAACGTGGACAATTTTTAATAATATTTTTCTGATTTTTTTCTTTTTTTCCTTTTTTTTCTTTTTTTCTTTTCCTTCTTCTTCTACCTTTGGCTGATGACCGGACACCGGCCACCGGCCATGGCCGGCCACCTAGCCTTGCCTGGGCGAGGCCGCTGTCGCCCGGACAAGGCCGCCGTCGCCTGCCACAAGCGAGGCCTAGCCAACCTTCGCCTGGGCGAGGGCGGGCGAGCCCCTGCGAGGGCTCCCCTCGCTAGATCCTGCGAGGCCAGCCCTCGCCCAGGCCACGGTGGCTTCGCCGGGCATCGCCTTCTCCCGGGCAACGCCCGGCGAGGCTGCCGTGGTCTCAGCCTCGCCCGATCTAGCAAGGGTCAACCGGGCCTTGCCTGTGGCAGGTAACGGTGGCCTCGTCCGAGCGAGGCTAGGCGGTCGACCATGGCCGGTGGCCGGTGTCCGGCCACTGGCCAAAGGTAGAAGAAGAAGAAAAATAAAAAAATAAAAGAAGGAAAAAAAGAAAAATATCAAAAAATTATTTAAAAAATCAAAAAATTATTAAAATATTATTAAAAATTATCCATGTCAACGCCGGCGGTGCCACGTAGGCCAACCGACGTCCACATCAGCAAAATCCGGCCAAAATTAGCCGGAATGACCGAATTGGCACAAAAACAAAAGGTTTAGGACTGAATTGGTACCAAAAAAAGGTTTATGACTGAATTAACACCAATGCAAAAGATTGAGGACTTTTTTGACACTTTTCCCCATGCAAAAGATATGATTACCAACATATGCTCACTTACACAAACGGCAGGCCATGTGACTACTTTGGTAAGAGTTGACAAATCAAACTTGACTATTGTTACAATTTAATAATACACAAAAAACGTAGTCTTCATCATATGGGAGAATAAATATCTATTAGAAAGTAAATATTTCGTTAGTTATACACCAAAGATTTTGTTAGACTAAAATATATTTTTTAAATAGGACTCTAGAAGAACAATGCAATTGAATGCATTGCTTTAGAGTAAATGGAAAATTACAAAAAAAAGTCATAGACCTATTGTAATTGTGTCAATTATGTCTTAAACATTTCAATTTGGCCAATTTAGTCCTAAATCTTTTGACAATTTACCAATTCAGTCCATTCGGCCAATTTTGTCCAGACATTGCTGACGTGAATGGAGACTGTCCTATGTGGCGCCGCTGACGCTAATATTAACAATTATTTTATAATTTTCTGAATTTTTTTTGAAATTTTTATTATTTTCTCTTTTTTTCATTTTTATTTTATGCTTTTCATTGTGGCTGACAAGGCTCGATCTCGCCATCGTTGGGTGAGGTCGGCCTTACCAAGGTTGAGCTATCGACAATTTTTTATAATTTTCTGAAAATTTTATGATTTTTTTTTTATTATTTCTCTTTTTTTCATTTTTATTTTTTGCTTTTTCATTGTGGCTGACAAGGCTAGATCTCGCCATCGTTGGGTGAGGTCGGCCTTGCCAGGGTTGAGCTAGCGAGGTAGGCAAGGTCGTGCCTTGCCTAGAGGCCGCGAGATTGAAGGCCACAAGGGCCACGGCCTTTGGCAAGGCACGACCTTGCCAGATCTAGCAAGGTTGGGCCTTGCCCATGGCCCACGAGGCTCAACCCTCACCAACCCAGCCTTGGCGAGGCTGACCTGACCCATCGACGGTGAGGTCGGGCCTTGCGCGGCCACAATGAAAAGCAAAAAATAAAAAATATATATAATATATAAAATTAATAAAAACAATTAATAAAAATTATCCATATTAGCATCAGTGGCGCCACATAGGATAGCCGACGTCCACGCAAGCGTCCATGTTAGCGATTTCCGGCCAAAATTGGTCGGATTGATTGAATTGGCAAATTGTCAAAAGATTTAGAACTAAATTGACCAAATTGAAAAGTTTAGGATTTAATTGGCACAATTGCAATAGGTTTATGACTTTTTTTGTAATTTTCCCTTAGAGTAAAGTTAATCATTTCATCTAGTAATAAATACGCTGGTTAATAATATTCATAAAAAGATTCGTAATAATAATATTAGTAATAATATAAATAATTATCATTAGTACTTTTATTATAGAGAGTAAAATTTACATACTCTTGCAAATCGACGGCTGCTTAATAATTCGAATTGAAGATATCTTTTAAGACCCTATTAATTGATTTATTATTGGCATTCTCACCTTAAGAATTTACACGTTAAACAAAGAATTCTGTCTTCGTTAGTACATCTATTACACGATTGCATTGTAGACACTTGAAATCTCTCGAGTCGGTTAAGTTTTACGGATTTATATAAAACAACATACTATGTCAATTAGGGGTATGCAAGGGGAATCACTTGAATCGGGAACCGCCCAGACCGGACAGGATTGACTAGTTCTGAGCAATTCTTAGGGGCGCTGGTCCGATTCCTAGTTCCATAAAATTGGAACTGGTAACGGATGGTCGGTTCCCGGTTCTAGGGTGGAAACCGGACTGACCGGACCTCTTGGACTAAACTGATTTATTTTATTTTTAAAAAAAATTTATTCGTTAAAGAAAAGCGATATTTGTGAGTTACAAGCATGAACATCATTTACATGATAAAAAATCAGTGCCCTTTTTTTATCCAGCACGACGATGGTCCTCCTTTTCCGAAAATCGAAAAGAGAGGTAAATGAAATAGTTGCTTCCAAGGCCATATTATAGAATCTCGGTGTCAAGAGAAGACAAAGAAGACAGACCCAGAAAAATATGAACAAAAAGGCCCTAGACAATCAGAACATGTTGGAGCAAGCATGCATGCATCCCACTCACGCAACTTGGGGGATAAGGTGTACCTCAGCATCACATCAAAACATTAG